ATCTATGCACTGACACATCCTTCTTGCTCCCCTGCTCCGACCCTGCAGAGGGTGCGTCAATGGCCGGAGCAGAGGAGAAGATCCAGGTAGAGCACGCCATCTCCATTGTCGCGACCCGCCCTCCTGTCCACATCTCCCCACCCCTTCTCCTCTAGCAGGAGGAGCACGAGCTGAGGCTGTCTGCCTCCGATTCTGTAGTGCGCCCGATGACGGGCTCCGCAGCAGCAGCAACAAGCCTTTGACTAGCTCGCGGCACCAGAAGTGGGCGACAAAGGCCATTGCCTGGTGTGTCCCTCTCCCTCCTCTCTCTGTCTGTGTGTGTGACAAAGGCCATTGCCTGGTGTGTCCCTCTGTTACTTTGTACATGTGATCCTTTTAGCAGCCCATAGGATGTTTGAGGAGATGCTCATAAGATGATAGAATGTTAGTATGTTTGTTAATATTTTATATTATCTTATCAAATACATTTGCTCAAACGATCCATTAAAGGGATGAACAATTGTAATAAAGGATCTCTCTCTCTCTCTCCATTTTGAAAAAAAGTACAATCAACCCTGTTTTATGTGATCAAATGCTCCAGCTTTATATATGAAATCTTCCTGTTTTACACAAGCTTAGCTATTTCCCATGGGCAGCTACTAAGAGTAATGCATATAACATTTCCTGGGGAGTTCTTCTTTAGTCATTGGCTATCGTCATTGGTATGATACATGCATTACACTGTGCATTGGTGATAAAGCTGTTGTTCTCTTGAACTGGTAATATTCATATGTTTTCTTAAATGATGTAAAGTTAACGGATAGCCATGCTAGCATCAACTTGGTTTTAATAGGTTCATATGCATGTATGTATTTATGTATTTCCTATTTATCGGTTTTCAGTGATGCTTACTACAGTATTACATAACTGAAGCTACTTTCTGATTTGATTTATTTTTAGTGATGCTTATTGCAGTATTACACGACTAAATGTTGCTTTCTGATTTATTTATTTAGGGTGAATGCTTCCTTTGTCCTGTTATTGTCATGTGATGCGCATGAATAAACGATGTGTTCTGACTGAATGTTCTTTAGCATTTATTCTTAGTGCTTACAGATTGTTGGTACCATATGGATCATATTTATTTCTAATACAATGTTCTCTTGTGTAGGCCTTTTCTATTTGGTCATTTGATTGCACCAAAGATTTATTTTTTTCCACTTCTTTAAGGATACAACCAATGAGGCAATTTCTGAAGGTAAAGAGTTTTATATGTTTTGCATGTACTGATTGCCTTTGCTCTATTTTCTACCTTCACATTGGTTGAAACTTCTCTACTGCTGAGAAACTTATTGCTTACTAGCCGAGGCAAAATATCTTTTATTACGTATATTCTTACTAAAATAAACACAAGGAAATATTAAGTAATGTCCATGATATTTGATGATCAACTATGAACTTAAATAATGCTCTACCATCTGTGGTATTTTGTTTTTCTGATGTGTATAAATTTAGTGATTATGTAACCTTGTCATTGATATTTTAATTTAAAGACAATTCCATTAATTTGGATAAATGAATTAACAAGATATTATGATCAGTGCAGATCAGTTGGTCAAAATATAAAACTTGAGTTCCATTTAGTTTACTTGGTGCATATTTTCTTGGAGATTCAGCTGAGTTAAAATGAATCATGACATATGATTTGTCCAACTTACCTCTAGACTATAAATTATATCTCACACATGTTCACTTTGATCTTGTAGTTTGCTTCAGCCACATTTTACGCATGTTTCCTTTCACAACCCTATCATACATGGGTTCTCACACATGTTCACTTTGATCTTGCAGTTTGCTTCAACTATGGGTAAGCAGAAGACTCACAATAAACCGCCTTACTGTCCATGACCCAACAACATAGACAACTACTTCGGGCCTAAGTGAGTAGTTGCCAGCCCTGCATTTTGAGCCTAGGAACCGATTTTGAGTCTACTTCTACGATTAGTTGCTTATGCTTCATGGTCTCGAGGCGAAGCTGCCAACAAGGTCTTGAATCAACCTTTTTGTTATTTGTTTTCGGGAGCTGTTCATTTTGCTGCTCTTGTCATAGTTTTAGATGTGTATATATAATTAATACCTGTAATTGCATATGTTTTAGCTCATTACATTATAACAACAGTATATGATTTTCAATCGAACATTCCCATATCTTCAAAATTGGTGCTTCCCATCACATAGCAGAAATTAATGGTTCATATCGTGTTTTGTATTTATGTTATATAGTATAATTCTTCAAAGTTTGCATCTCAAGCTAGCCTTCTTAGTCATTCTTTCAATGAAATACATTAAAAAAAAGCCTTTCCAGTATACTAGGACTAATATTTCTTAATCGAAGGTCTTAGCACCTTCAATGGAACTAGAAGTCTCCTTATTAAGGCTAATCTTATTCTAGAACTAATTTAGTTCATGTATTGCATGCATCACTGTCAAGATCTATATTCTTGCCTGTTTGAAATTTCAAAAGGTATATAATTCACATACTAATGCTGCTAATCTATTTGCACATCAGATCTCAAATTAAAGCTAGGCATGTTCTTCATGATAAATGGTGTTTTATAACCAGACCATAAAAGTTCTCTGTATTTCAGGATTAAGAGATGAAGCCATGTTTGCGTATGTCCCTCGATTTATAAACTTACATGCCAAGAACTATGGTAGCTTCTGCCTATCAAGAACTACATGGCCTATCAGAACTACATGAAATTTTTGTATTGCTGCGTTGACATCACCAAACTATTTGTGCTGGTATTATAATCATGTTTTTGTGCATTATCAACTTCTGACTTCTGTGGTTTACTTACACGAGTATTCAACATATTCACTTACACAGGTAGTAGTAACAGGTGTTACTCATTTGCTGGATGACTAAATCTTGTTGTTCACAAGGGTAAGTAAAAGAACCATCTTCTTGCTGTGATGATGTCCTTATGGCACGCTCAATGGATATGTCCATCAACAGGTTTTTACAACGCACAGAGGAGTCAGGCGACAAGAAAGTCAGAGCAAACTATCTCTAATATATATGTAGTCTGATGTTATCCCATAGCCGAACCATATAAGTTTCTTATACTGCTCTGCTTTCGGTATATTAGACTTCTATCCATTGTAAAATTATTGTCGTGGGTGATGACTATGGCTTGATTATATGGTATGAAGTTTGGGTTTGGTTTTGAGCTTAGATGTATAAAAATGCATGCTTAAAACATAGATAAATGTGATAATTCATTGAGTGATTAAGCATAGTTCTGGATTTGGCATGCTGAACTAATTGGATGGAACATGGCAACTTCAGTTGAATCATCCATTGCATAGCCGCGCATTGCATTCTCCGTACATTTGGTTCTTTTGAGAAATTTTAAGGATAGGTCATGATCATGTATAGGGGGCTGGATGAGTTTGGGCTGGGGGGTGCGGCAAGCCGCACTTCCTATCTAGTAGATAAGGTGCACCCTGTTCGGTTCGGACTCACGCGTTATACCCTCATAGGAAGGTGGGGTTGTGGGGACATGTGTATTTGAGGTTCCTGTAATATTGTACTCCGTATCAGGACATGTGTGAGATCTAATAGAACGAAGCACTTTCATTAGTGGAACAGGCTATATCTATAAAACTAATCTGGTTACTAGCAAGTTGCACGGTCAAAGTTTGTGAGCTACCATCTTTTCCGGCTGCCTTTTTTTTAGAAAAAAAGAGGAATACACCGGCCTCTGCATCTGGACGATGCATACGGTCATATTATTAATTACTAACACAAAATCTTACAAAGTCGTACAACAGTAAGACCAAAGCCACCGTCTAAGCAATCTCATATCGGAGGTCCTCGACCCAGCGCGGCTCCACCGGCACGCGTCGGCGCGCTGCTGTGCACTTCATGGTCTCCTCGTGGACCTCGCCGAGCAGAGGAAAAACGGCGTGGTCCACGCGGAGGAGAGCATCCGCTACGCTATGTTTGGCCTGGTGGCCAACATGTGTTTCGGCGACGGCATCGTCAATCGCCACGTCTGTGCCATGGCCGACGCCGAGAGTTGATAATTATTCAATGCACTTAGCACCTCATCTAAGCACATATGCATTGAAAGAGGTCTTAGGTTGTGCACCGTGACAAAGGTGGAGGGGAAAATGAGAGTATTTAATGTTTATTTGCTAATTAATAACATTACATGCAATGAACTGACTATTGCATGCCCTGCTAGGTAGTTTCAAGTCATTGAAAGCATACAAACCCCACGTTTCTTATTAGTTGATTCTTTGATTCATGTCAAGTAATAAGGAACAAGGTGAGAGTTAATGCACCGTCCGCGCTTAGGGCTGGTCATAGTGGGATTATCATAGCTAGTACCATGCCAACTAGGCAATTTCGATGATGGAATAATTGTGAAGTTTTGATCAAAATTTGACTTCACACAAATCCAATATGCGAAAGTAAAAAGCACCGGAAGAAGTACCATAACAGCCTCATGAATGGCAACATGTGGCTATCTAGCCGGGACCAAGTAATAAATGACGACCATCAGGGCGTTCAGCTACTTGTCGATCAGCTTGCAAGCGATCAATCACAATATTTCACGCTGTGTCCATGTACGGAATTCTTGGTACTATCTCTGTCCTGGTTTATAAGTCATCCTTGTATTTTGGATCAATTTTTTATCATGATTTTAATAACTAATAAAATATAAGTTATACATAGCAGAAATGGTATCATTAAAAAGTACATTCAAATATGAATCCAACAATATAATTTCTTGTGACATGCATTGACAATTTGCTAGTCAAATATGTAATTAAATTTTGACTCAAAATATGAAAGGGACTAATAAACCCTACTCGAAAGTTGAAATTATCATTTTTTCGGCCTACGGCCAAAGTTGGCGATACTTAATTTCACAACCTTCCATGCATGACCAATAAAGGTGTAATAAATACCATCCCATCCCCCTGTATCTGCCAAAAATCGCATTATAATGGAATCGATGGAGCTCAACTACCCCGTGCCATGCGTGCCTAAATATGGCAGACGCGGCTCAGTCTATCAAGACATGGCAGACCTGCTCCTCCTCATCCTGCTTCCCTTGCTTCTCCTTTTCTTCATCCTCCTCCATGCCTCCCCCATCAAAGCCCTCCTCACGACGGCCAAGTTGGTTCTAGCGCCGGAGCTCTCCACGGTGTGGAAGCCGCAGCCCGCTAGTATCTTTGTCACCGACCATGAGACGGCGCACAGCCTTCTCGTGCGCGGCAGCGCCGGCGGCTCCTTCTCCAACCGCCCACCGTCCATTTCTCCCAGCGCCATCCTCTCGCACCGTCAATACCAGAACATCACCTCCGCTCCCTACGGTGAGCACTGGCGCGCCATTCGTCACAACCTCACATCGGAGGTCCTCCACCCAACGCAGCTCCACCGGCACGCGTCAGCGCGCCGCCGTGCACTACATGGTCTTGTCGTGGACCTCGCCGAGCAGAGGAAAAACGGCGTGGTTCACGCGGCGGAGAGCATCCGCTACGCTATGTTTGGCCTGGTGGCCAACATGTGTTTCGGCGACAACATCAACAATAACCGCGTCCGTGCCATGGCCGACGCTCAGAGTGACCTCGTCAAGTCCCTATCTACGGCGCGCGTGTTCGCGCACGCGAAGCTCCCCGCACTGACCAGGCTCATTTATCGTAATCGGTGGAAGAAGCTAGCCGCCTTGCGACAGCAGCAGGAGGAGACGTACCTACCACTCATCAACTCCCGTCGCGGCCGGCACCGGCGACCCAGCGAGACGCCGGTGTATGTGGACACACTCATCGATCTCACGGTGCCGGACGACCACAGTCAGGACCCAAGGCGGCATCGGAGAAGGCAGTCCGATGGTGAACTCGTCGGCATGTGCTCCGAGTTCCTTGGTGCTGGAACTGAAACAACAGCATCAGCGCTGCAGTGGATCATGGCCAACTTGGTGAAGCGTCCCGACATACAGGAGACCGTCCGGAAGGAGATCAATGCCATCGTGGGTGCGGACGCCGAGGAAGTCAGCGAGGTTGTTCTTGGAAAGCTGGAGTACCTGCATGCTGTGATCATGGAGGCACTCCGGCTGCATCCGCCGACGTCTTTTGCGTTCAGGCAGGTGATGGAAGAGGATCATGTGGTTCACAATGGCCAGCCTATTCTAGTGGGCACAAAAGTGTACTTCCCACTGGCTGCTATAGCACGAGACATGACAGCGTGGGATAACCCTGACAAGTTCAAGCCACAACGGTTCCTGTCCTACAAGGATGCATCCCAAGGAACCGACGGCACGATCAAAATGATGCCTTTCGGCGGTGGTCGGAGGATGTGCCCTGGTAGGGGTGTCGCAATGCTGCACTTAAGCTACTTCACCGCCAACCTTGTGAGGGAGTTCCGGTGGAGGGAGGGAGAAGGTGAACGTGCCGTTGATCTCCGACCTCATGTTGAGTTCTTCACTGTCATGAAGCGGCCATTGCGTGCTCACCTAGAGCTTGAAAGGACAGAGATCAAAACTAGTTAATTAGCTGGGCTGATCAAAGTCTCTTGGTTGTACCGTGTTTGCTAATAAGGAACCCTATGAATGTTTTTTGAGCGTCAGTCGAGTCCTCCCCCGTACGCAGATTGTCGAACCGAGACGGAGCGTCCCCGGCGAGGGCTTGCCAGGAATAAGTCGGAGCAGGCAACAAAGCCGCTACGTCGTAGGCGGAGGTGAGATAGAGGCTTTACTAGTTTGGGTGATGGGCGGTTCCCGGCATAAAGAACAAATGGAATACATGATTATGTTATCCGTTAATGCCGTAATAGTTGTGGTTAAGTCGGCAATTCCTCAACTCATGCACTTGAGCAGGCTAGGTATTTCTTTTTTGAACATTATTATAAAGATCATTAAGATTGTTAACCATTAAAAACACTTTGTCAATAGGGAAAAGTAATATATGCATGATGAATGTTATGCATATTTATAATTCCCTTTAACATTTGTAAATCCACCAATTAACTCATGCTCCTACCTTTAGAAATAATCCAAGACCAATAATGTACATGTTATTTACATAAATAGTAAGATATTTTAAATTAATAAATCTGGATACAAAAGCATATATTAATGTTTGTAGCTTAGCTACCCCATAATGTGCGATGCTCCCTGTTTATATCCATGCAAAACCTTATGCAGTAGGATACATGATGTGTGGCAGATGAAACTAGCTCCAATACACTTGTTCAAGTTTTGTTGTGTACAACACCGATGGCAGATGAAACCATGTCAACAATCTCTGCTTGTCGAGTTGACGGTCATGTCAATGCGAAAGAAGGCATAGCTGTCAGCATGTCGCCCTAAAATCTGACCATGTCAACAATGGAGGTAGGTGAATTCGTGATAGAAGAGGAAGAAGAAAATAATAATTGTGTTATAACAAAGTATACAAATGAGCTTTGTTTCTCAAAATAAACATCCTGAATTCTACAAGGATAAAAATAGCAACAAATAAACCAAAGTGATCGTCTTAATAAATTCTATTTTGTTTACTAGGTTAATGTCACGCTTGTGGCAGGGAAGGGATAGGACACATCACATGCATATCCATTATCCATGACGCAAGTGTATGAACATGCGTGAAGGATGTGGGACACCGAAGAATTAAGTAAGGCTCTAAAGTGTGGGCTATAAATTGGCCTATACATCATTCTCAACATGGTGCAGAATGGCCAGACTGTCTTAGCTATACCTTTGCTGGTTTGTCAGGTCATTATAACGGGTAGATGCAGGTTAGTTAATACAGATGGATGCAACGCTACTCCTATAGATATTATAATATGTGAGATCGATCGGATGTGTACTTTTTTGAATGGTTATTCTTGCTTGTCAAGCCACTCTTTATTTGTCTTTTCACATTCATAATAGCTAAACATCAGTCGCCTGAAAATCCAATTTGGTTTGTTCGATTTTCGCTAGAAGGAAGCAGGTGCCAGAGGGAAGGAAGAAGCAGCTTCTGACTCGCCGGAGTGAAGGAAGGAGCTCCCTAGGAGGCTACCCCATCATCTATCGTTGATGAAGGGGGGAGGTAGGGGTGGCAGCACGGCGGTGGTGCAAGTTCGCCAGAGAAAAAAATGGTCATTGCCAGGGCTGGAGGGATGGCGAGGGGCAGCAGCATGTCGGTGGGAGGAGGATGAGGGGTGGGCGGGGCGGTGAGGCTGAGCGGGAGGGCCGCTGGCCGCGGGTGGTGGTGGTCGACGGTTGGGCCGGTGGTCCATCTGGCTGTTGGATGGAGAAGAAGAAAGTTGTCTGGAGGATGAAGAAGTAATCTGCACCGCCTGTTTTCCATCCCATGGCTGAAACGAAATCAAAAGAACATAACTGAAAATTTAGTCGACTTACCACTAGCCATTCCCTTCTACATTCTATGCAGGGCCGGCCCTGAGGGGGGGCAGAGGGGGCGGCCGCCCCGGGCCCCCAGGATGCAGGGGCCCCCACCCAGGGTACGTATACATTAGCCAGCTAGGCTAAGCCCACTACGCACTAGGGCATGGGCTGAACATGGAGACGCAGGCTGTGTCTAGCCTAAGGCACACAGCGGCTCGTTCCTCGACTCCTCATCCGATGTGTAGCTCGTAGTTGTAGCTTTGACCGCATGCCTGTTTGGATGCCTAATTATTCCCTTCCGAGATGGTCAGATCTAATCGCGAGTTCGCTTCTCCAAGAGGATCGCGATCCTAATCGCGAGTCGCCGTTTTATCGGCGACCTCCGCTCCCCAATCTCCACTGGAGATGTCGTCCGTCGTCGCCAAGCGTAGACATACATCCAATCCAGACCGCATCCTCCAACAGATCCCAGGTTTTAATTACTAGTATTCCCTATCAGCTAATTATGTAATTTATCTTTGCATACATGATGCCTAGATTGAGCACTGCTCAACGTATGATGTATTTTTATTTTCACCATTACGTGTATTTGTGGGTATAAATTATTTCATATGAATTGGTTTTGGATGGAACAAAATATATATATATATATATATATATATATATATATATATATATATATATATACACTTGACTGCTACTTGTTCAAAAACTTTTAAAAAAACCTGGTTTTGTTAGATATATTACTAAAAATATGTTAGGTTTCACCCAGTGTATATTCCCTTTATTTGTTGGTATGATATGGGGAAGGGTTGTAGCTGCCTTGGAGAGAATAAGGGATATTCCTGCAAATTGCGGAGCCGATCTTTTTTGCATTACCATAATCTATCTCACATTTAGGATAGTGAGAAATGGAGGATGGCAGATACCGTAAAGATATTGATTATTATTGTTACGATAGTTATACTATAAGGGGCCCCGAGTTTTAGTTTCGCCCCGGGCCCTCAAAATCTCAGGACCGACCCTGATTCTATGTCGTTGTTTCCAAAATAACACTGACGCTATGGCTAAGGCACATCTATAGGTCCGGGAAGAGCCAGGCCAAGATTGGTATATCATGAAGAGTACCGATCTCAGTGAGCTTTACTACATGCTTACGGTCATCAAGGAGGTGTTTAGGTTGCATCCTCCTACTCTCCTGCTTGTCGCAAGAGAGACTAGAGAGGACTGTGAAATCATGGGCAATGACATGCCTACAGGCACTAATATCTTCATTATTGTTTTTTATAATTTCCCGAGATCCTAAGTTACTCCCCAATAGACGAAGAAGAAAATAGGGCCAAGGCGCCATTGGAGATGCGCAAAAAATATCCATCGGGAGAAGGAGCTTACCACTACAAGAAATATGTCAACTTATGACCTTCTGTCAGTGACCCTGGAAGAATTGGTCATAGATTTATGACCATTTGAGACCAATTGGTCAAAAGCTGTTCGAGGGGCTCCAAACCCTAAACCATTGCGACCATTTTGGTCAGAAAGGTCATAATTTCCTTACATGAAATGGTCATAAAGCTAACAGTGCTAGTCCGCTGCCTTATTTCTAGTTGTTAACGACCAATATAGATGGTCATAGCCTTGTAAATTGTGGTCGGTTGCTATGACTAGGCGCCACCTCATCAGTTTTGCCTATGTGTCATGTCCATGTGGCAGTTTTTGCCCTGGGTTGTGAAGCAACCTATATTTCTGTCATTCCCAAAATTCCCAAAAAAATCTCATAAATTCTTTGGGTCATACCTTCGTCAAATATGTAAAAACCTTCCTTGCCTAGTTCAAAAATAATTCAAAAATATTCATTTTCCTATTCTGTTCAGAGTAACAGTTTGTGAAGGAAGTACCACTTTGGCATGTCCAAATAGTATCCATTTTCTACAATGCTTTCCTATGCCCAAATAACCATCCTCCACCAAATGCCAGCTCAATCCATTCATTATGTTGAGCCGAGCTTCAACATTCGTATTTATGTCCAGTGTGGTGGTTTGCAAAGCAAGTACCACCTAGGCTCCTCCTTTTGAGCTGAAAATTTGTGAAAACGGTCTTCTTAGTAACTGATCATCCTTAGCCAAAACTCACACCCATTAGCCATGTACATTTCCCGTACCGCTAATCAAACACTTGGCTGCTAATTCATGTTTAAGCATCGATTGGTCTCCTCATGAGAATCTTATGTTGTAATTTTCTTCCTAGCACCAACCTGGGGAGTGCCCAACCCACTAGACATGCCTAGGCCGCCCAGAACACATGGCAACGCCACGGTCACGCGGTGACCACGCGGCGGGCATGCGAGTTTACGCGCTCTAGAGTTGGGGCCCTCGGCCACCGCCCAAACCTCGACGTATTGCCACCAAACCATGTATTTATGATTAAATAGGTCCTTATGTAACTAGAAATGATTTTTGGAAAAATAAATAGCAAACTATGAGGCAGCTGCAGTTCAAATTTGACTCGCTTCCAACTGAATCGGCAGAAATTTGCCTTTTTCATGAGAGGTGGATCAAAAAATTTTACACCAGACCATTTTGTCAATTGTGCATTAAATATGGCCTAGTATTTTATAAAAATGATTTGGTCCAATTTTGCAACAATTATTTGGTAGTTCCTTCACAAAAAAACCTCCTTTGGGGCACTTGAAAAATGGAAAATGGTTTTTTCGTCCAACGAAAATGAAAACTTCCTTAGGCAACATTGTTTGCTATTCCAATATGCACCCTTGTGCACAATATGAGATCATTTGAACAAACTATGCCATGAATGTGGCCATAAGATTGATCATTTGGCTTGAAAGCCATGAATCTTCACACTTGATAGCTCATTTCTGAGAACACTTTTTTAAAATAATTACCGTATTACAAGTTTATTATTTTTCCTGGAAACTTGGTCACATATAATGACACAATGCAAAGGTTTTCCAATTTTTTGATTTTTTTTGAATTTTTTATGCCCGTTTGAAAATGCGGTCAAAACGGCGGGCTTGACCGTTCCTAGCTAGTGGTTGAATCTTGGAATTTTTTTGGTGTTTCTATGATTAAATAGATACTTATGTACCTAGAAATGATTTGTGGAAAAAATAAAGAGCAAACTATGAGGCAGCTACAGTTCAA